ATTATCTCGTTTTTACAGACAAAGCAACTGAGGCCCAGAGAGGTACAGTAGAACTGCCCAAGCCATGTAACTCGTGAGTGGCAGTGTGATGATGCAAGCCAGGACTGTCTGACATCAAAGCTCAGGCTCTTAGGTCCCCAGTGGGTCATAAAGCACACAGCACCTGGGCAAGGGCACTATACTCTGCATTCTCTGGTGTAAGAGTACCTGCCCAACCTGATGGCAGCTGAACCCATTCATATCAGGCCTGGGGTAAGCTCCATTCTGCCCTGCTGGATGCCCCGGCATGTTCCAGAATCTCCAGATTCTCCTGGGTTCTGGGGCTCCTTAAAGGGATGACTCAGTTCAAAATGAATCCCCAGGGAAATCATGGAGGCCCATTAGCCCCTCTCCCCAATCCCAAAACATCTCTGGTTCTACCCTGTGGGAACTAGAGGCTCTGAATCCAGCCCCGTGCATACCCTACATTCCCTGAAGCCCTGGGTGGGCTGGGGCAAATAGGGGCCAGCCCTGTCCACAGCCCAAATCTGCCCTAATAAATGCAGGTCTCAAACTGAACAATCCTCTGAGGTCTCAGGCATGGTGCTGTGCCACAAATAAAATGGTGTCCAGAAGCTGGGGTTCTACCCCAGCCACTGCTCATAAGACAGGAGACCTGGAGATGATCCCTGGTGTTGGGTTTCCATTTCCTTCCCTTTCACATTTCTACTATTGATGGTTGCCCTGACTGTCTCATGTAGTAAAATGAGAAATTATATGTGGAGATTATCTGGGGGGAAAAATGTTTACATAATACAAATACCTATGGCATCGTCCTGCAGGTTTCTTCCTGTTTGCATTTCATCAATAAAAGAACACATACTAAGTGGCAGTCTTTCAGCCCCCCAATTTTATACAACTTGCAGTTGGCATTAAGTCAAAACTGACTGTCTGTGACTGTAATGGGGTTTTTGGGGGGGACTTGGTGAAGGGGGGAGCCTAGTAAACATAATGTTCTTCATGTAATTATAGATTAATGATACCAAAAAAACACACAAAAAAACAAAAAAACTGACCATCGGTAACCATGCTAAGACCTTTATTTACACAAGGACTTTCAGAGATAAACAAACAGTAAAAACTGGAGCAAATGGGACAAAACACAAATATTTGCCAACTCGGGATGATGATTCCAAGGATAGTGGACATATTGCCCTATGGAATTCTCTGGGGTTAAATTTTTTCAAAATCTAAGAAAAAGAACAGTAAGCAGTGCTTTTCATTTTCAATCCTGGACATTAGGTGTAAGTGAAAGCCACTGGGATTTTCTTTTTCTTTCAAAAGAAATAGATCACCTCCACCATCACTCCACCCAAATAATCCAATTTCATCTACTTTAAAGACCTGGTGGGCCTTGAAACTACCAACCCACCTTCTTCTATCACTTTCATTACCACTGGGAGATATATTCCTGATGCTTTATTATCATTAGCAAACGCAATGCTCAACAGCATGAGTTTTAAATATACAGAGGTCACGT